TTCACCATACCACTAGCTCATATTTAGTTAATTATAACCCTCAAAGTTCCCATCCCCCACAATGAACTATTTTAGTTGCATCTCCTACGTTCCGTACATATTAAATTGAGTTTGCAGAACCTATAGTCAAGACTTTACATTTATAATTTTATAGGCAACTGTTCTTCCCTCCTCTCTAAAAGCCCCTAGCTTTTAAGCCCAGGCCACTTTGTTCTTTCCTAAAGATATAAGCACCGGGTTCACTGTCACCCTCCAAACTCTGTCATGGTTCTTTGTGATTTTAGTATCATACAGGTGATTATTTCACTCCTAGCTTTTCCATTCTTCTGGACTCTACTCCTCCAACGACCCTGTCCTCCACTCCATCTCAAGTCTCCCATTCCTCTCAATAACTGTATCCCCTCCTTAATCTCTGTCTCAAACACCCACTCTTTCACTGCCTCCTACGTGTTAGTGCCTTTTTCAAAGCTCCCTTGGTCACCACTGGAAAAATTTACTTCAACTTTAAAATGAAAGCACAACTAACTATTCCAGAGATTTCTGAGTAATATTCAGCCACAGTTATTTCTATGATGATATAATCAGATAGATAGATAGATAGATGAGAGAGAGAGGGGTGGGGGAGAGGGAGGGGGAGAGAGAGAGAGAGAGAGAGAGAGAGAGAGAGAGAGAGAGAGAGAGAGAGAGATTGATTTTATTTTCCTCCAGCTATGCTGTCTGAACAATCTGTGTTCGTATTTATACTGTGTTGACCTGAGAAAACTAACTCATACCCTTGTGCCCATGTGGTTAGACTGATTATTATAATGCCCTTCTAGTCTAGCTCCCAGCAATGACTTGAGAATGAGGAAAATGAAAAATGACACAAAAGGAACTGTTTAACTAAACTAAACACTAATGTGAAACAGAACGGTGCACATGTTCTAGGAAACCACAAACTGTGTTTAGCACAGATCCTTACACAAAGGAGGCATTCAATAAATATTTACTAAATTGAATTAAACCGCAATGGTTTCTCACTTTATGGATAATAAAAACTTTCTATAATCTGTGCTATCCAGGAAAGACAGTATAAAGAACAAGATAATACACAACTCTTCTCCAAATCCTCAGAATCAGAAGTTCATGGATAGCTCAAAAAAGAGAGGGGGGCAGGAAGGCCTATGGTGTATTTGAGGAGCAATGAGTAGGATGGGTTTCCTGGAACAGTGAGTTCATGAAGAAGAAGTCATGCTGAAAGCCTTTTATAAAATGTATTTATCAATGTATTTTTAGGATATGTATTTCCGAATTTAATTTACCCTAATTTCAGTTCCCTATAAGAAAGGACATATACCGTAACTTACTGCCAGAAATGTTATTGATTGCATCCTGAGGCTATGTCCAGGGAAATAAATTGCATTAGAAACTATTTTATTCTTCTGATATGTATGTAAAATACTGTAAAAGCCAAGCGTACTGCTCCTCCCCATTTCAACAGAATTGCTGCTTTCTCAAAAGATGGAAGAAAAAAAAAAACCCAGAAGACTGTAATTTACACCTTCTGAAGGGGATTACTAGGAATGATTCAAGTAAAAAAGTGCACACACATCTATCAAACACATACATAAGTCAAGACAGTCAATTCAGCCTCCACGTGGATTTTAGAAGATGTTTGGTAATGTGCATAATACAATTTATTATATTAAACAAAATAAACATGGATATATAATCATTCTGAAAGTTATTGAAACCATGAAGACTTAGAATAGGTTTTCCAATAGAGTATCACATTCTCACTTTATGGATAAGAATAGGTTTTCCAATAGAGTATCACATTTGAAAAATGTAAATTTATGAGCACTATTGTCCATGTAATATAAAAGTCAATATTACTGAAGCAAATCATATTGGACTGATTTCTCCAGACCATTTACCATTCTGTTCATTTTGCCTTCCATGCATGAAGCAGTCAATGAGTTAATTTCCCAAATGGCTAATGAGTTAACTTCTTACTATTGCATTTTGTTCAAATGTTCTACTTTAAATTCTTCCTTTAAACAAAGGGCTATTCTTCTATTCTCGTGTTATTCTATGTTCTTCTTGAATAGTTTCCAGGAATAAAATAACTAATCAAGAAAAAAAAAAGAAAAAACAGTTGCTCTTAACACCCTTTGTATGAAGTTATTAGATGATGGCACTTATTCAAGATTAACAACTCTAACATGTTGTAGCCTACACATGGTGTATTAAATGTTCCTTTGGCAACAGACATTATTTCACATGCCCATTATAAACTGTAGACATGAAAAAATTATAGCTTTAGAAGAAAGTGTTATTTTTGTTAAGAACATTGCACCACAAAAGGGACAGAAGCAATATGCATATATGAAAATACAGTACTGATGGAGTTGCACTGTACAACTTTAATGATGTTTAAACATATATTCATTCCAGGACACTAATGAGAAATATTTTTAGAAATGTTTCTTTAGGAACTTTAATTACCATCAATGTATAAAAATGAAAATAGAATTTCTGTCCAGATGGCATGATTGGTGGTGTCTTTCAGAAAAAAAAAAATGTTTAAAACACATCAATGTCTGTCTGACATTTTATAATTCCATATGAAAAAGAAACAAAATCTGTTTACAGTACATCATGCTCAAAGTCTAAGTTACTCTTTAATTTGATTTGCATCCCAAAGAGCACCATTCTCTTAAAAAAGTAAAGCAGGGTGTTTAATAGACTTCCTCTAGATTTTGTTTCTGATAAACTTGAAGATGCACCTGCCAATTTTGCTTATAGCAATAGAACTGCCAAAATAACATACAAGGAAGCTGGCCGAGTTTCTATTTGGATTTTTCAAGATCCAGTTATTTATTAGATATAATTTCTGGCGTCTGGATCTCTCACAACATCCCATCCAGTCTACCAAATAAGAAACATACAGATTTAAAACATTATACAATCAATAGCTATACGAGAAATCCCTTCAAGAGGAAATGATAAAACTGAAAATTTTCTATGTAAATATGCAAAATATGTGCTCCTTTCCCCTCTTTTCATTCTCCTCCCATCCAGACTCAACATCATGTTTGATTTTATTAGTGTATTTGTTGCCTAGGATAGGAAACTCCTAAGACAGTCAAAATAAAATATTTCTATAATAAAAATGATGTTAAAACTTGCAAATTTCTACTTTGTGACTGGAGGAGTTGTTCTAAGCATTTTCTATACATATATAGCAACCCATTTTAGTCTATAGTATGTAACTAAACACAGGGCATTTAGCCTCTTTTCCCTAGTTCATCTAACCTTGGTGACACTAATGGAAGGTGGGCAATGTCTATAAAAAAATTATTTACTTTGATGACAGTGGATAAAGGCTCTGAACCATGAGCTATGTTCAACAAAGAAAGGGAGTTGGTTAAGCCAACAAAAAAGGTACCTTCGTTTGTCTATTTTCTTTTGCCGTCCTATTTTGCAAAGTTATTTTTCTCTTCATTTAGATGAAGTCCAAAGACAGGCTAGGCAGTCATTCCTAGTCTTAAATCCTGCCCCCCTCCAATGTAGCCATATAATAATATGTAACAAATGGGTTTTTCTGTTCGTATTTCTTTCTTTATTCTTTCTTTTTTTCTGTTTTGTTTTCTTTGTTGTTGTTGCTGTTATGTAGTCTCTACTTTTTCTCTTCCCTTTACAATGCTGACATGTTTTATTCAATGCATCCCCCAAACCTTTTCTCACCTCGTATCTTGTACTGGAGCACAGCTAAGGCTGCTTAAGGCCACACCACCTGACCCTTAAGAGAGGCGTTGGA